CAAACTCTAGACGTGTGCGTGCCAGTGCTGAGGCCAGGCGTTCATCTGCCACGTCTCGTGTGGCGCAACACGATGGTGTAAGGCGTGAGGTTCAAAACTCCGTTAATCCTGATCTAATTGAATTGGAAAGTGAGGATGGTGGAATGGAAAGTGACTCATCACTCATAAATGCCCCCCCTTTTGCACACTCAGCTACGACCAGTACTGGTGCTGCCCAAGAGCCGGCCTTACCTACCTCTCTTTCGGCTCCGGCTGACGGCATTGAAAATCAGGACACACTTGTACCCAATTCAATCTTGACTACCGGTAAGCCACCTCCCATTCAAGCTGAATGTGAAGACGTATCTGCTCTTCTAAATTCTCTGTCCTCGCTTGTTGGACCCGAAAAATTTCTTTTGAAAATGGGTGCCCCTGGCTTCGCTTGGATTCACACAAAGGACCCCATTAGTTACAAATCTATCATTGAGTTTTTGGACTCTAAAGACATTAGATATCACACTCATCAAATGAAGTCTCTCCGTCCTCTCCGTGTGTACGTAAGAGGGCTGCCACGCACTACTTCAATTGATTTCATTAGAAATTTTCTAATTGATCAAGGTTTTGACGTGGTGGGCGTACATCTTCCGATTTTTAAGGATAAACGTAGCCCAGACCCGTCAGAAAAATTTTCGCCAAATGCGTTTTTTGTCAATTTAGTCAACTCTGCTAAAAATGAAAAAATCTTTCAAATCAAGTATATTGGCAATTTTATAGTCCAAGTAGAGCCAACTATTAAAAATTTAAACATTCCTCAATGTAAACGGTGCCAGAAATTTGAGCACACGAAAAAATTCTGCAAACATGATCCTAAATGCGTAAAGTGTGGCGGTGATCATTTGTCTGAAACCTGTACCAAAGTTTTTGAAACTCCACCGACATGTGCCAATTGTAAAGGGACTCATACTGCCAATTATCATGGCTGCCCAATTCTTATTGCTATCAAAGCCAGACGTAGTAAGCTTCATCCTCTCCCAGCTCGTACCCTGGCGTTAAATCTAGCCGGTACTCAAGCTAGAGATGAACAGTTTCCCCCTATGGACGCTCCCCTTAAATCTAGAAACCAGAAACGTGTACCTACACAAACTTCCTTTAATACTCAATTTTCTAACTTCGTTATGAAAAATAACAATCCAACCGCTTCGGCTTTGCTTGTCACAAACGCCTCACCAGCTAATATCCACAATAACCCCAATATAAATGCCAACAGGAATCCCTACTCCTCAAATTTAACTCCTAGAACGTACGCGGATATGGCGCGTTCTCTAAATAAAAAACACATTTCAGCCGATATCCCCTATCAACGGCAAGGGCAAAGATACCCTCGCATTCTTGGCCAAATTCCTTCCTCCTATGAAGAAAACGCTAAAAACAGACCTATTGTCCCTATTACACCCCCACCACCAATCGATACGCTTTCCCCCGAAAGTCTTCATGGCCTTGCTGAGAATGAATTTAGAACTTTTATATCGAAACAGATGCTAAATATGAGCTTCCAAATCACTTCTTTACACTCGCAACTGTCCGCCTCCCTTGCCAGGATGGAGCGGCTGATTGCCCCCTCGAATCGGCCCACTTCGAGCTCAACTACAAACCCAAATGAATAGTAACTCTCTTAAAATAGCCATTTGGAATGCAAACGGCATTCGCCGTAAGCTCCACTCCCTTGAGCTCTTTCTAAAATCTAACATGATAGATATTCTCTTAATTTCTGAGACTAAGCTCTCTCGAAATTTGCAAATTACAATACCTGGCTATAAAATTATTGTATCACATAACCCGAATTCAATAACTGCTGCTGGTGGGTCAGCTATTATAATCTCAGACAATATTCAGTTCCAACCTCTTCCTCCCATATCTGAAGAATACGCACACATCTCCCAAATTGCTGTTAATACATATTTTGGCAGCATGACATTTGCTGCTTGTTACTGGCCCCCAAACCAACAGGTTTCCCACACATTCTTTGATTCGGTCTTCAACCAATTAGGAAATAAATTCCTGATTGGTGGGGACTGGAATGCTAAACATAGGCTGTGGGGCAACTATAGAAGTTGCCCTCGTGGACGTGCATTAGCCGACACTATTTTGGCATCCAACTCATTAAATGTGCTCACAACTGCGGAGCCTACTCACTTCCCACGCAGCGGTAACACACCTTCAGTCCTTGATTTTGCAATCACGAAAAACATTCATCATTCCCTAATGCAAATAAGACGCGTTTTTGACTTACATAGTGATCACCTCCCTCTTGTAATCTCCTTCTGTTTTGGGCTTTCCTCAATTAATCCCCCATCGCCAAATAACTCCAAAATATTTATGAAAAACACAAATATTGAAACTTTCAAAAAATTATTGAACAATAGTATTAACTTAAATATGGACATAATCAGTCCCGATGACATAGACGATGCAGTAGATCTGCTAGTTTCCAAAATTCGCTTTTGTGCCACAGCAGCCACCCCCACTAACAATACCCAGTCTCTTTTTCCAAATTCCTTTCGCCCTCCTCTTAAAGCCGAAGCTTTAGAACTGGCAAGATTAAAGCGCCAACTAAGAAAACGATATATTCGTACTCGCTCTCCCCTTGATAGAGCTGACTGGCTTTTCGTAGCCCGTACTCTTTCCACTTTTTTAAAGCGTATGCGTTCCTCGTACTTTAACTACCTACTAGAAAATGCTGATCCGAACAAAAAAGGAGGCTTCAATTTATGGCGCGTCACCAAGCACCTAAAAACTCAGCCTCACATGGTCTCCCCCATAAAAGATTCGGCTGGTAATTGGTGTACTACCCCTTTGGAAGTGGCTGAAGTTTTCGCTAATGAACTCGAAAGCCGCTTCACTCCTCATAACTTTTGCTCACAAGCCCATACACAACAAGTCCTGCAGGCCTTGGAGAATGATGAAATTCTCATAGAACCGAATATTCCTATTCGTCATGTAAGTCCTACCGAACTTAAATCTTACATCTCAAGTATGAAACTTAAAAAAGCTCCTGGCTTAGACAACATCACAAATTTGGTTCTGCGCTCTTTACCTCATAAAGCAATCTTGTTCCTCGTCAAAATATTCAATATTATGTTGTGGCTGCGGTATTTTCCAAAAAATTGGAAAAATGCAGCAGTGACCATGATTCCAAAAAGTGGCCGCTCGTTAAGCCAAATAAATGACTACAGGCCAATTAGCCTCTTATCGTCACTATCCAAACTGTTCGAGATGGTTATTAGCGAACGCTTAAATGACGTGCTCGACAAATGTCACATTATACCCGACCATCAATTTGGCTTTCGTAAAGAGCATAGCACCATTCAACAAGTACATCGTATAGTCAATCATGTACATCGGGCTTTTGACCAGGAACAGTTCACATCTGCCATTTTTCTTGATATCGAACAAGCGTTCGATAGGGTTTGGCATGTTGGTCTATTATATAAATTGAAAAAATTTTTGCCGTATCCATTATTTGAACTCTTCCAATCATACCTTTCAAATCGCACGTTCTGCGTAAAAGAAAGGGGCTGCGTCTCATCAATACGTCCTGCTCTTGCTGGAGTTCCACAGGGTAGCATACTTGGCCCCACTCTCTACAATATATATGTCAGTGATATGCCACTACCCATTGTACACAAATTTTCGCGAAGCAATTGCCTTATTGCAACCTATGCAGACGACACTGCTATTTTATTTAGTGATCCTTCTCCGCACACAGCTACTTACAATATGAATAATTACCTATGCACCTTCTCGAACTGGGCTATGTCCTGGAACATTAAAATCAACAGCAGAAAATCCTCCCACATGTCATTTACATGGCGTACTGGTAGAATGCCAGATGTCACTTTTGACAATGTCGTCATTCCTAAGAAATCCACCGTCAAATATTTGGGCCTAAATCTGGATGGCAAATTGCTTTGGAACAAGCACGCTAACGTTATCAAAAAGTCTCTTTTGGGCAAACTTCAAAAATATAACTGGCTCATAAATCCCCAGTCCCGGTTAAGTACTAAAAATAAACTTTTGATTTATAAACAAATCATAGCGCCAACTTGGAAATACGGCATAGAATTGTGGGGATGTGCGGCAGATGTCCATATCCGAGCCATCCAGATTATCCAAAATAAAACCTTGCGCCTCTGTTCATAAATTACATTACACAAATTTTTAACTTACACACATATTAACAGTTCAAACATATTCACGTCACATCAAAATAAATAATTAATAAACTCACAAATTATTATTCTAATACAGCAGCCTCATCAAAACATATTATTAAACTACATCCACATTTCATAATTTAACTACTCCAACAAATACACATATTCATCAAATTTCATACAACATTACGCTAATTCAAACAATAATAACTTTTCGCATACCATACAAATTAACAATATAAATCAACTAATAAATTAAAATTTTAACCCTCCTTGCCTTCGTCACGCTTGGGAAACTCTTGGGCCACCTGATGCGGTCCTGTTGATGGAGCCTTGCTCTCTGGATCTGACACCACACCTGGAGTATCCATAGCGGAGCAAAGAAATCCATGCTGCCATCTTTTCTGCCATAGGTCGTGACTGCAGCCGACGCCTCTCCCATTGGTACCTGGAACCTGCATCCATCTCTCTGAAGCAAAACTTCGCCAAACCTGTTGCCCTTCTTCAGTGTCAACGTTATATGGCGCTGAAACATAAATAAATAAATAAAGTATTAATATAAAACTTTACAAGTACCAATTTGGTATTTTACTAATTACTATATACAAACTCTTAATTTACACACACATCAACAGTCTAAACATATTCATGTCACATCAAAATAAATAATTCGTAAACTCATAAATTATCATTCTTAAACTGCAGCTTCATCAAATCACATTAATAAACTACATTTACACTTCATAAACATTTAACAAATATACATATTCTTTAAATTCCATTTTATCAAACAATATTTACGCCAATTCAAATAATAATAACTTTTCGCATTCCATTCAAACTAACAATACAAATCAATTAATTCACTAAATTAAAATAATAACAAATATTCAAATTTACTTTATAAATAAATATATAAAAACTTTCGTCAAATCTCCGCCTCGCCTACAAGCCAAACATCGTTTCAACTGGAGCCTCTGCCTGGAGTTCTGGTTTTCCCGTCTCCTCTTCGAGGTCCATCTCGGCAACTTTCTGGCTTTGCTCATGTTTTGTATGCTGCATCTCTTCAGTATCCGGATCCATCATTATATGGAGCTGGAAAAATTAAATAAAATATTATCATAAAACTACATATAAATGGTAAACAAACTACATAAGAAGTCCTTTAACATACTCACGACACATCACAATAAAATCACAATAAAATAATTCATAAATTCACAAATTAATATCTAAATATAATAGCCTCATTACATATCCACGTCATATCACAATAAAATAATTCATAAATTCACAAATTAATACTCAGAAATAATAGCTTCATTAAATTACATTTTACACTATATAAACATTTAACTACTCTAATAAATACACATATTCATCAAATTCCAATTTTTCATACAATATTACGCTAATTCAAATAATAATAACTTCTCGCATTCCATACAAATTAACAATATAAATCAACTAATAAATTAAAATTTTAACCCTCCTTGCCTTCGTCACGCTTGGGAAACTCTTGGGCCACCTGATGCGGTCCTGTTGATGGAGCCTTGCTCTCTGGATCTGACACCACACCTGGAGTATCCATAGCGGAGCAAAGAAATCCATGCTGCCATCTTTTCTGCCATAGGTCGTGACTGCAGCCGACGCCTCTCCCATTGGTACCTGGAACCTGCATCCATCTCTCTGAAGCAAAACTTCGCCAAACCTGTTGCCCTTCTTCAGTGTCAACGTTATATGGCGCTGAAACATAAATAAATAAATAAAGTATTAATATAAAACTTTACAAGTACCAATTTGGTATTTTACTAATTACTATATACAAACTCTTAATTTACACACACATCAACAGTCTAAACATATTCATGTCACATCAAAATAAATAATTCGTAAACTCATAAATTATCATTCTTAAACTGCAGCTTCATCAAATCACATTAATAAACTACATTTACACTTCATAAACATTTAACAAATATACATATTCTTTAAATTCCATTTTATCAAACAATATTTACGCCAATTCAAATAATAATAACTTTTCGCATTCCATTCAAACTAACAATACAAATCAATTAATTCACTAAATTAAAATAATAACAAATATTCAAATTTACTTTATAAATAAATATATAAAAACTTTCGTCAAATCTCCGCCTCGCCTACAAGCCAAACATCGTTTCAACTGGAGCCTCTGCCTGGAGTTCTGGTTTTCCCGTCTCCTCTTCGAGGTCCATCTCGGCAACTTTCTGGCTTTGCTCATGTTTTGTATGCTGCATCTCTTCAGTATCCGGATCCATCATTATATGGAGCTGGAAAAATTAAATAAAATATTATCATAAAACTACATATAAATGGTAAACAAACTACATAAGAAGTCCTTTAACATACTCACGACACATCACAATAAAATCACAATAAAATAATTCATAAATTCACAAATTAATATCTAAATATAATAGCCTCATTACATATCCACGTCATATCACAATAAAATAATTCATAAATTCACAAATTAATACTCAGAAATAATAGCTTCATTAAATTACATTTTACACTATATAAACATTTAACTACTCTAATAAATACACATATTCATCAAATTCCAATTTTTCATACAATATTACGCTAATTCAAATAATAATAACTTCTCGCATTCCATACAAATTAACAATATAAATCAACTAATAAATTAAAATTTTAACCCTCCTTGCCTTCGTCACGCTTGGGAAACTCTTGGGCCACCTGATGCGGTCCTGTTGATGGAGCCTTGCTCTCTGGATCTGACACCACACCTGGAGTATCCATAGCGGAGCAAAGAAATCCATGCTGCCATCTTTTCTGCCATAGGTCGTGACTGCAGCCGACGCCTCTCCCATTGGTACCTGGAACCTGCATCCATCTCTCTGAAGCAAAACTTCGCCAAACCTGTTGCCCTTCTTCAGTGTCAACGTTATATGGCGCTGAAACATAAATAAATAAATAAAGTATTAATATAAAACTTTACAAGTACCAATTTGGTATTTTACTAATTACTATATACAAACTCTTAATTTACACACACATCAACAGTCTAAACATATTCATGTCACATCAAAATAAATAATTCGTAAACTCATAAATTATCATTCTTAAACTGCAGCTTCATCAAATCACATTAATAAACTACATTTACACTTCATAAACATTTAACAAATATACATATTCTTTAAATTCCATTTTATCAAACAATATTTACGCCAATTCAAATAATAATAACTTTTCGCATTCCATTCAAACTAACAATACAAATCAATTAATTCACTAAATTAAAATAATAACAAATATTCAAATTTACTTTATAAATAAATATATAAAAACTTTCGTCAAATCTCCGCCTCGCCTACAAGCCAAACATCGTTTCAACTGGAGCCTCTGCCTGGAGTTCTGGTTTTCCCGTCTCCTCTTCGAGGTCCATCTCGGCAACTTTCTGGCTTTGCTCATGTTTTGTATGCTGCATCTCTTCAGTATCCGGATCCATCATTATATGGAGCTGGAAAAATTAAATAAAATATTATCATAAAACTACATATAAATGGTAAACAAACTACATAAGAAGTCCTTTAACATACTCACGACACATCACAATAAAATCACAATAAAATAATTCATAAATTCACAAATTAATATCTAAATATAATAGCCTCATTACATATCCACGTCATATCACAATAAAATAATTCATAAATTCACAAATTAATACTCAGAAATAATAGCTTCATTAAATTACATTTTACACTATATAAACATTTAACTACTCTAATAAATACACATATTCATCAAATTCCAATTTTTCATACAATATTACGCTAATTCAAATAATAATAACTTCTCGCATTCCATACAAATTAACAATATAAATCAACTAATAAATTAAAATTTTAACCCTCCTTGCCTTCGTCACGCTTGGGAAACTCTTGGGCCACCTGATGCGGTCCTGTTGATGGAGCCTTGCTCTCTGGATCTGACACCACACCTGGAGTATCCATAGCGGAGCAAAGAAATCCATGCTGCCATCTTTTCTGCCATAGGTCGTGACTGCAGCCGACGCCTCTCCCATTGGTACCTGGAACCTGCATCCATCTCTCTGAAGCAAAACTTCGCCAAACCTGTTGCCCTTCTTCAGTGTCAACGTTATATGGCGCTGAAACATAAATAAATAAATAAAGTATTAATATAAAACTTTACAAGTACCAATTTGGTATTTTACTAATTACTATATACAAACTCTTAATTTACACACACATCAACAGTCTAAACATATTCATGTCACATCAAAATAAATAATTCGTAAACTCATAAATTATCATTCTTAAACTGCAGCTTCATCAAATCACATTAATAAACTACATTTACACTTCATAAACATTTAACAAATATACATATTCTTTAAATTCCATTTTATCAAACAATATTTACGCCAATTCAAATAATAATAACTTTTCGCATTCCATTCAAACTAACAATACAAATCAATTAATTCACTAAATTAAAATAATAACAAATATTCAAATTTACTTTATAAATAAATATATAAAAACTTTCGTCAAATCTCCGCCTCGCCTACAAGCCAAACATCGTTTCAACTGGAGCCTCTGCCTGGAGTTCTGGTTTTCCCGTCTCCTCTTCGAGGTCCATCTCGGCAACTTTCTGGCTTTGCTCATGTTTTGTATGCTGCATCTCTTCAGTATCCGGATCCATCATTATATGGAGCTGGAAAAATTAAATAAAATATTATCATAAAACTACATATAAATGGTAAACAAACTACATAAGAAGTCCTTTAACATACTCACGACACATCACAATAAAATCACAATAAAATAATTCATAAATTCACAAATTAATATCTAAATATAATAGCCTCATTACATATCCACGTCATATCACAATAAAATAATTCATAAATTCACAAATTAATACTCAGAAATAATAGCTTCATTAAATTACATTTTACACTATATAAACATTTAACTACTCTAATAAATACACATATTCATCAAATTCCAATTTTTCATACAATATTACGCTAATTCAAATAATAATAACTTCTCGCATTCCATACAAATTAACAATATAAATCAACTAATAAATTAAAATTTTAACCCTCCTTGCCTTCGTCACGCTTGGGAAACTCTTGGGCCACCTGATGCGGTCCTGTTGATGGAGCCTTGCTCTCTGGATCTGACACCACACCTGGAGTATCCATAGCGGAGCAAAGAAATCCATGCTGCCATCTTTTCTGCCATAGGTCGTGACTGCAGCCGACGCCTCTCCCATTGGTACCTGGAACCTGCATCCATCTCTCTGAAGCAAAACTTCGCCAAACCTGTTGCCCTTCTTCAGTGTCAACGTTATATGGCGCTGAAACATAAATAAATAAATAAAGTATTAATATAAAACTTTACAAGTACCAATTTGGTATTTTACTAATTACTATATACAAACTCTTAATTTACACACACATCAACAGTCTAAACATATTCATGTCACATCAAAATAAATAATTCGTAAACTCATAAATTATCATTCTTAAACTGCAGCTTCATCAAATCACATTAATAAACTACATTTACACTTCATAAACATTTAACAAATATACATATTCTTTAAATTCCATTTTATCAAACAATATTTACGCCAATTCAAATAATAATAACTTTTCGCATTCCATTCAAACTAACAATACAAATCAATTAATTCACTAAATTAAAATAATAACAAATATTCAAATTTACTTTATAAATAAATATATAAAAACTTTCGTCAAATCTCCGCCTCGCCTACAAGCCAAACATCGTTTCAACTGGAGCCTCTGCCTGGAGTTCTGGTTTTCCCGTCTCCTCTTCGAGGTCCATCTCGGCAACTTTCTGGCTTTGCTCATGTTTTGTATGCTGCATCTCTTCAGTATCCGGATCCATCATTATATGGAGCTGGAAAAATTAAATAAAATATTATCATAAAACTACATATAAATGGTAAACAAACTACATAAGAAGTCCTTTAACATACTCACGACACATCACAATAAAATCACAATAAAATAATTCATAAATTCACAAATTAATATCTAAATATAATAGCCTCATTACATATCCACGTCATATCACAATAAAATAATTCATAAATTCACAAATTAATACTCAGAAATAATAGCTTCATTAAATTACATTTTACACTATATAAACATTTAACTACTCTAATAAATACACATATTCATCAAATTCCAATTTTTCATACAATATTACGCTAATTCAAATAATAATAACTTCTCGCATTCCATACAAATTAACAATATAAATCAACTAATAAATTAAAATTTTAACCCTCCTTGCCTTCGTCACGCTTGGGAAACTCTTGGGCCACCTGATGCGGTCCTGTTGATGGAGCCTTGCTCTCTGGATCTGACACCACACCTGGAGTATCCATAGCGGAGCAAAGAAATCCATGCTGCCATCTTTTCTGCCATAGGTCGTGACTGCAGCCGACGCCTCTCCCATTGGTACCTGGAACCTGCATCCATCTCTCTGAAGCAAAACTTCGCCAAACCTGTTGCCCTTCTTCAGTGTCAACGTTATATGGCGCTGAAACATAAATAAATAAATAAAGTATTAATATAAAACTTTACAAGTACCAATTTGGTATTTTACTAATTACTATATACAAACTCTTAATTTACACACACATCAACAGTCTAAACATATTCATGTCACATCAAAATAAATAATTCGTAAACTCATAAATTATCATTCTTAAACTGCAGCTTCATCAAATCACATTAATAAACTACATTTACACTTCATAAACATTTAACAAATATACATATTCTTTAAATTCCATTTTATCAAACAATATTTACGCCAATTCAAATAATAATAACTTTTCGCATTCCATTCAAACTAACAATACAAATCAATTAATTCACTAAATTAAAATAATAACAAATATTCAAATTTACTTTATAAATAAATATATAAAAACTTTCGTCAAATCTCCGCCTCGCCTACAAGCCAAACATCGTTTCAACTGGAGCCTCTGCCTGGAGTTCTGGTTTTCCCGTCTCCTCTTCGAGGTCCATCTCGGCAACTTTCTGGCTTTGCTCATGTTTTGTATGCTGCATCTCTTCAGTATCCGGATCCATCATTATATGGAGCTGGAAAAATTAAATAAAATATTATCATAAAACTACATATAAATGGTAAACAAACTACATAAGAAGTCCTTTAACATACTCACGACACATCACAATAAAATCACAATAAAATAATTCATAAATTCACAAATTAATATCTAAATATAATAGCCTCATTACATATCCACGTCATATCACAATAAAATAATTCATAAATTCACAAATTAATACTCAGAAATAATAGCTTCATTAAATTACATTTTACACTATATAAACATTTAACTACTCTAATAAATACACATATTCATCAAATTCCAATTTTTCATACAATATTACGCTAATTCAAATAATAATAACTTCTCGCATTCCATACAAATTAACAATATAAATCAACTAATAAATTAAAATTTTAACCCTCCTTGCCTTCGTCACGCTTGGGAAACTCTTGGGCCACCTGATGCGGTCCTGTTGATGGAGCCTTGCTCTCTGGATCTGACACCACACCTGGAGTATCCATAGCGGAGCAAAGAAATCCATGCTGCCATCTTTTCTGCCATAGGTCGTGACTGCAGCCGACGCCTCTCCCATTGGTACCTGGAACCTGCATCCATCTCTCTGAAGCAAAACTTCGCCAAACCTGTTGCCCTTCTTCAGTGTCAACGTTATATGGCGCTGAAACATAAATAAATAAATAAAGTATTAATATAAAACTTTACAAGTACCAATTTGGTATTTTACTAATTACTATATACAAACTCTTAATTTACACACACATCAACAGTCTAAACATATTCATGTCACATCAAAATAAATAATTCGTAAACTCATAAATTATCATTCTTAAACTGCAGCTTCATCAAATCACATTAATAAACTACATTTACACTTCATAAACATTTAACAAATATACATATTCTTTAAATTCCATTTTATCAAACAATATTTACGCCAATTCAAATAATAATAACTTTTCGCATTCCATTCAAACTAACAATACAAATCAATTAATTCACTAAATTAAAATAATAACAAATATTCAAATTTACTTTATAAATAAATATATAAAAACTTTCGTCAAATCTCCGCCTCGCCTACAAGCCAAACATCGTTTCAACTGGAGCCTCTGCCTGGAGTTCTGGTTTTCCCGTCTCCTCTTCGAGGTCCATCTCGGCAACTTTCTGGCTTTGCTCATGTTTTGTAT